GCCTGAAGAAGTCCCAAGAAGCGGACGAAACGTCGCGAGCGAACGCCACCTGACATACAAGAGAGAGAACATAACATGAGAAAAGGAGGACCCACATATTTATACTTCATATAACAAAGGCGAACCAGTCTAATATAACTCAGATAGTGAGATTATAAAACCTCTTTTGAGAAGATGGGGACGGAGAGCTGGCCATCCACAGTGGTGGCGAGTGCACTTTGGGGGCCTCCACTTAGGTGGAGACCCCCACCCCAACCCAAACCTAACCCTAACCCTAACCCTAACCCTAACCCTAACCCTAACCCTAACCCTAACCCTAACCCTAACCCTAACCCTAACCCTAACCCTAACCCTAACCCTAACCCCTAACCCTAACCAATTGGACCCTAACTAAGCCCCCTTTGAGGCCCTAACCCTAAATCCCAGGCCTGATTCAGTTCAAGTCCCCACCCTGACTCCAAAACACTGGCCTTAACTTATTTCTAACCTCAGTGAAGGATTTTCTAAGCCCATATAATGGATGAAGCCACTAACTAAAGTAGGCATTTAAGTAAAATGGATGAAGTGTAGCCAGTAAAGGGAGGCACACATACCCAGTGGATCAAGTGTTAACCATAGTTATGAACACTATATAAGTTAAAGGCAAAAGAATTGGAGCCAGAAATAAAGGATTTTTATTGAAAAAGACATGGGAAAAAACGGTTAGAGAAAATCACCACATGGAGGAGGAACACGGATTTTCAGAAAGGGAGGGGCTCAGAGCATAAAAGGGAGCAGCGGACATTTTGAATTCAGTTTGGCACGGCCCTCTGAGGGAGCCACATGTCCCCAGAGGGGCACACTGTTAGGGGATAACTACCTCAACTAAATACTTACCTCAACTAAATACTTACCTCAACTAAAGGGATTACTTACCTCACCATAAGGGGATACTTACCTCTACCGGAAAAGAAATAAAACCTGTATGTCATGGCCGCCTGAAGAAGTCCCAAGAAGCGGACGAAACGTCGCGACCGCCATCTGACATACAAGAGAGAGAACACATGTGAAATAAGGGAATAAAAAAACATTAGGGTTAGGGTTAGGGTTAGGGTTAGGATTATAGGACTGAGTCCTTCCCCTCGTCAAACAAGGGTTAGGTAGTGCACGGTCCTTCCACCAGTCCGCTCTCTTTCCCCGGACAATCCCTATAGTTTGGGTTATATCCTCGCTCAGGTGAGCGGCCTTGTCGTCTGCCATACCTGACAACATGCCAGTTTGTGTCATCCTGAAATCTCCTCATTCTGATGGGTCTGTTTAGCGTTAGGGTTAGGGTTAGGGTTAGGGGTTGGGGTTAGGGTCAGGGGTTAGGGTTAGGGGTTGGGGTTGGGGTTAGGGGTTAGGGTTAGGGTTAGGTTCGAAGTGAGTGAAGTTAGCAACCCAATCAGGGCTCTGGTGCACTGGCCTGGGGGCGTGCGGTCCGTCGTGCAGACCCCGCCTCCCTGGAAATAAAATATATTTTTTAAGAAATAATTTCAGAAAGAAAATAAAATAAAAACTGGTGAAACACAGGAGGCAACACATCAACGAAATAAATTGTGTAAAATTAAATCGTGATGCAACGTGCTAATTCCAGGTGTGTTTACACTGTCAAAGGTGCAGCTCAGGAAGTATTATGCATATGAGAAATGACAATCAGAACACAAGGTAAGTTGGTTATTACAAATTAGTGGTGTGAGAGAGTCAATATGCATATGGGACAGAATGTAAAAAGGACAAATCCAGACAGAGAAAGTGGAGATTGTGACATTCATGATTTTTTATTGGTATTGTTTAAATAAAATTATAGTGAGTTGAATTATTGAATAGTGTCACTCTTAATTTTCCAAGTCTGATGTGTTGGTCCGGAGATGGTAACGGGCCGAGTTCCCTCCGCTTTCCATCCTGCATACAGGTTCAGGTGAATAATGAGGTGAGGAGATGGTAATGAAAATGAGTAGGGATGATGATGATGATGATGATGATGATACAACACGTCAAGCTCGGCCTTCCCAATGTGAATTTAAGAGGTAAGTGATACATTTGAAATTGGTAAAAGTCCATGGTGCCGTATGAGTTATGTATAAGGTTGTAATAACATGTTGAATAACTATGATGTAATGTGTTGTGAATTATCTTGTGTGTGATGTGCTGTAATTAATCTATGTGTCATGTAGGTCTGAAATTAAGTTGTCCAGCTCCCCTAGCCAGTGGGAGAAGATAGCACTGGCTGTCTCTGTAGTCCACTGTATGTTGTCAGTTTGTGTTATGAAATCCTGGTCCGGGAAAGCTGAGAAATGTGTATAGTGTTTTATTATGTGATTATTGATTATTGCCAGATTGTGCTGTTCTATTGCTGGTAGATGTGGTGAATGGTTGATAATAGGAACGATTATGGAAGCATTAGGGAAGGCCGAGCAAGCCTTGTTGACCACAGTTCTGAGCTGTTTCACAGAGGTGTTGTGGGGATCCTGAGCCCTGTTATTTAGGCCCACCGAGAGGATCAGCACTTTTGGGTTTCTGTTAATTGGTGTTTTTTCCAGAATCTTCCAGAAATGATAGAAGGAGGCTCCCGGGTAGCTGTCAGCCTGGACAAAAGGGTGGTTAAATTTGGGGATTCTGTGTATGTTTGAATCCCCCAGTATGGCAATTGGTTTATTAATTTTGAATTCCCAGTCCCGCAGCTTGCGGTTGTCTCTGGCCTGATGGTAAGTGGGGTCAGAGGCTGTGTCTGCGCATGCGCCCGCGCCCCGGTGGGGAGAGCCCCTCGGCTCGGTACGTCTCCCGGCAGGTGTATTTTTGGAATGGGTGAGGAAAGATCAGAGTTGGAATAGTAGTCTGTCATGTTGACTTTTTGACCTAAATTACTCATCATTTCATTTTTCCTCACAGATTCTGTGTTACACCGGGGAGCCGCCTCTGCCTCAGTGGGTGCGCTCTCCCCACCCTGATGTGATCTGGGCGCGGGCGCCGGGAGATGGAAGGTGCCGTTTAATACTGACCCCAGGCCAGACTCTGCATGAACGCAGGTAGGTGTTGGGGTGCTACTGCGGGACTGGGAGCCCTGTGTGTCATTATTGTTTTTTTGAGTAATTATGTTTGTTACTCCAGGCTGACAGCAGTCCTCGGGAGCCATGGCATTCACCGTCCTCTGGGGGCAGCGCCTGTGGGGGAAGTAGGAGGTGAGTGGTAGTCTGGGACTGGGGTGTTGTCCAGAGGCTGTGGAGAGATGTGGTTAGGCTGAGGAAAAGAGGGCTCCGTGTTAGGCAGGTGAGGAGGGAGGGAAAAAGAAAAATCCTCATCTGAATCACAATATTTCAGGGGGGAGGAAGGGTTAGAAAGAGTGGCTGTGGTGAAGAGCAGATCATGTGCAAATGTAATTGTGTCTGGATCGATTCTGTTGCCGTAGCGTCTAAGAGCCCATTGTGTGGCTACTGTAAACGCCAACTCGTTGCCAGGGGTGTTAAGGAGATGTGTGATTATGTCTTTGTAATGTGCTAATAAAATGTGCATGTTTTGCCATAACCAAGTGAGTGTGTTTTCTTTGAGTGTGTCTGTTGTGTTTTGTGATGGAGAGGATGGTTTTATGAAGCTGGCCAGTTGGATTGTTTTGCGTAACATCCCTTTAGGAATTTCGCCCTCCTCAAAAGCCTGCTGTATGTTGTTGTGATGATGTGTGGCTTGTATAAGTTTTAAGTGATGTTTAGCTGCAAAACGGGTGGATGTGTCCAGTGCCTGTTTAATTGGTGTGTGTGTGTTTGTATGTGCGGTGTTGTTTGTGCCGTGTGTGCTGCTGTGTCTGCTTTCCGGTCCGCTCTGTGTGTGGGGAGAAAAAGAAAAAGAGAGAGAGGGAGGGGTCCTGTAAGTTGCAGCCGCGGGTCTGCCTGCTCCCCCCGACCCCGCTCGTGTCGGGGGTCCGCTGCCCTCCGCCCTGTGTGCACCCGTGTGTGTGTGACCCACCTGCGTCCATCTCGCTGCATGCGGTTGTTGCGGTTTCTGCGTCATGTCGTTCCGTGTTTCCGGGTTCTCTGTGGAGTAGACTGGGTGGAAAAAGTCTTATTTCTTTTTAATCCAACAGAGGAGGAAGCCGACAGTTGCGGGAGAGGAGGATGAAGCGCTCAGGTAGGCAAGGTGTTCACACCGGGTGCTATTAAAACGTAACTTTTAATGATTTAAATTTAAAAAACCAACGAGGGTCCTGGTTCCGAATAATAAAGAGACTAATTAAAAAGTTTAAGGAGCGGCAGCGGCTCCGCTGACAGAGCAGGATCCCCTGACGTTTCGTGCCTCGCCGGCACTTCTTCAGAGGGGAAATGAAAGGGGGAAAGGGTTAGGGTTATGGTTAGGGTTAGGGTTACCTGCTGGAGGGCCTGGTGCGGTGGAACGAGAATCGAGGCAGGGCGGCAGTTGAGGGAGGACAGAGGTCGGCGCTGCGTTGCTACAGTGCCCAGCTGCAGCACAGCTTCGACCAGCTGACCCAAGAGCTTCTTGGGCTCACGCTGGTCGACACTTACACCGTGCCCAGGGAGTACACAGGTAAGTCATAAATCTGTCTGAGGTAACGGTAACGTTTAACACCTGTCTTAGGTGTCTGTCATTTAACATCTCCTGACACTCCAGGGACTGATGAGGAGGAAGCGGGGGGGGGCAGTGATGAAGGGTTCGAGGAGGAGGAGGAGGAGGAGGAGGAGGAAGAGGAGCCAGAGGAGATTCGTCTCCTCGAACACCACAGCGCTCTCCTTCAGTCCTCAAACCTCACCCGCCCCCCCCGCTTGGACCTAATGGAGGTGCAGCAGGCTGGAGGAGGAGGACGTTATCGGGCCAGACGGTCGAGGCAGCTACCAGCACGTCGTGGCCCTGGCCCAGGCCCTCGTGGAACTGCGCCACCGCCGCTACGTCACTCCCAGGCAAGCCAGAGAGGTCATCGCTCTCTGGCTGAAATTGAGTGACTGGGACAAGGCAGCGGTCACATTCCCCCCGTCACCAGGACCGGCTCGTCCAGGGCCGATTCAGGACCACCCAGCGGCACGCTCACACACCAGGGGTGGATAGTGTGAAGCGGTAAGCAGTCACAATAAATTTCCAAGCTTTGTTTGGTTCTTGTTCTGTGCTGTCAGTCACTAACTAACTCACTCTCTCTCTCTCTCTCTCTCTCTGTGTGTGTCAATGTAGTGCGGTCCTGGGCAAGGGGGCGGGAGCGGCGCAGTCTCCCGATGTGTCGAGGCTTGTGGAGGCTGTCCTGCTGGACCTCAGCATCCTCAACTGCAGTGAGGGGAGGACGATTGCCGGGGTCCGCATTCATCGCTGGAGTGCCGTCATGAGGGACTATCAAACAATTCGAGAGAATGTTTATAGTTGTGCAGCCCTCATGCAGGCACCCGCATCCAGCTGTATGAGGTCAATCAGCGGACCCTGACGCAATGTTAAGACCTGATCCTTTCTCTCACATCTGATCTGAAGTGGCATTGTGTGTGTGTGTGTGTGTGTGTGTGTGTGTGTGTGTGTGTGTGTGTGTGAGAGTGTGTGTGTGTGTGTGAGTGTGTGTGTGTGTGTGTGTGTGTGTGTGTGTGTGTGATGTCATGATTACTAATGTGCATTTGTTACATTCTGTTTTTTAAGGCACACCAAGAGGAGCAAGGCGATGATGAGGGACACCATCGCCATTGCAGTCCCGGGGCCCAGCGCTTCCCAGACTGCAGCGGAGCCCCTGCCTGCCCCACGGACTGTGCTGCAGCAGCCTGAGCAGCCAGACCAGCCCCTCCAGCACCGCCTGCCTGCGGACGCTTCTGGTCTGGCTGCCACCATCAGAGGGCCGCTGGCCCCGGAGCTATACGACCTCATCGTCGCCAGCTCCTCAACTGCCACCACCTCCTCCTCCTCCTCCTCCTCAGCCACCCCACAAGCCTCCACCAGTGTCAGCGCGGACGCCGTCCGTCCACCAGTGCCAGCGCAGACGCCGTCCCGTCCGCCAGCGCAGAGGCAGGTGTCACCCCCTCCACAGCCACAGCTGCCACTGCTCCACCAGTGCCTAGAAACACTGCCTGGAGGCGCAAGCTCCAGGAGGAGAAAGAGCGTCGTGCCCGGGAGCTGGGAGAATATATGAAACCAGCAAAGAAGGTCTCCCACTTCAACTGCAGGCACTGTGGCCAACCAAAGACGCGGGCGTTTGGCCACAGCCGCTACAAGACGGAGACCTTCTGCTCCCGGGCCGACGGGAAAGGGAGAACTGTGGTCGGATTGTCGAGCGTTAGTCGAGCGTTAGACGTTAACGCCCACCTCTTAACCTCACCGGCTGCCGTATGCGACGGACAGAAATCCCCGTGTGTATTTGAGAGAGCAGTGAGATCTGAGAGAGTGAGTAAAACCAAAATAAATAGAATATTAATGTACTGATATAACACAGCGACCCCACTGTACTGTTACGATGTACTGAATGGAGTTAATGTTTTATTACGTTCTGCCGGCACTCTCTGGTTAGCTTATGCTAATATTGAACGTGGACGTCAGGCGTCCTGTTTACACATTTAAACCATATTTATACTTCGAATTTCGACTCCAAACTGTAGTAACTACATCTACAGGGTCTAAGGAAGATAATCAGGTAGTCTGTTTATAGATTAAATACATTGTGAGAGATCGCCAGCCCTCAGAAAAGTAGTAACTAAAATGACCCCATTCACCTCCTTGTTTTTAGTTAGCAAAATCGCGGCTGGTCTGTTTACACATTTAAACCATATTTACACTTCAAATTTTGACTCCACATCGTTGTACCAGCATCCCAAGGGTCTTAAGAAGTGAGCCAAGTTGTCTCATCACGTTTTTAAAGCGTTTCCAGAGATCGTCAGCTCATCACAGCAGTGGCTAAATGCTCATTCATTTCCAACGCTTAGCATGCTAATAGCGATTTATATGCTAACGCATCTAAAGCACAGTTAAACTTTAAATATCAACTCCACACAATAGCAGTACAACATCCTAGGTCTCAACAAGTAAACACAGTATGGGAATACTATTTTAAACACATTTCACCGATCGGTAATGACATCGGCCGCAGTGCTAACTTACGCTAACGTTACATTGGCTCGCTGTTTCACTGCTAACTGATTACTGTATAATATATAAGCTGCCTTTTCGCTGTAGCACATAATCTGTTTAAAGATTAAATACATTTTGAGAGATCGCCATTATGTAATGTAATGTAACATAGCTGTAGCTAGGATGCTACAGTATAATTACAACATGTGACGATCTCTGAAAACAAAATTAAAGTATGAAAAGACTATACAGTTAATGTCCTTAGAGCCTTAAGGTTATAATATCACCAGGTGAAATCAAAAGATAAAGTTTAAGTGTATGTTTTATACATTAACAATAAGCCTGTTTGTTTAATGGCTGCCAATGCAAAGGGGGCTAACCCTGGGCTCATTATTTACCTGTTGTGTCACGTGATGTTAGTTTGTTAACGGTAATGTTTCAATAGTGAATGTGAAGTAACAGTATATCATTAATCTTATGTGTGATATTCCTGGTAATATAGCAGTTAATATGTAGTTTAACCTGTAATGCTCCTTTAATGCTGTGCTGTGTCATTTCTTGTCATTGTAGAAATGGTTTTTGCAAAACTGCAATTCACAGCCTCGCAGCAGCTTCTCCTGCGGGCCTCTGGTGAGGCGGTGGCCTACATCGCCGCCAAGGGGCCACGCGGGGCCGCCGCTGCTGCGAGGGCCAAGAAGCTGGAAGAGGTGGAGAAGGAGGCACAAGCCCACGTCGTCTCCACGGGCGGTGACCCTGGGAACCACATGCTGGTGCTGAGCTGCCACAGCATCCAGTTTGGGAAGTACCAGGGTCAAACGTTCCGTTGGCTCCTGGAGAACGACGTGGGCTACACGGTACAGTTGGTCGCCAGCCACCAGCGGGAGCGGGAGAAGAGTGCCTCCGACAGCCCCCCTTATGGCCAACAAGGACGCTCTCGCCCAGTACTCGTGCGCCCACCCGGAGTTCGCTGAACACATAAGATTCCACCGGGCGCACGAGGAGGCCCGGGCTCGTGCCAGTCAGCCCGGGTGTGAGGGCGAGGCCCTTGTTGGCTTTGGGAAGTTTAAAGAGGACACCCTGAAGGACCTGTACGAGTCCTCTGATAAGGACCGCCAAGGGTGAGTGATTGGTGCTACACACAATGGATTGTGAATTGCTGTATGTCATTATTGTTCACTAATGTGATGCCGTCCATGTTGTAGATTTGTCAAGTGGCTTCGAGGGAAGACACTGCACCCTGGGACTGCAATGGACGCCGCCAGGAAGTACATCCTGGGCCGAGACGCGAAGCGGTCGGCAGAGGCGGCAGCTGCGGCTGCTACCCCCCCTCCACCCACCAGCAGCCGCAGCATCAGCAGCAGCGCCCCCACCACCACCAGCAGTGGCCCCAGCAAGGCCGCTGCTTCCACCGCGCTGTAGCCACACAAGCCGATCGCCTCCAAGATCGCCGCCGGCGTCCCATGGGCCCAGGTGAGCTGCAGGCCAAGGTCAGGAAGCTGATGACCACACCTGCACAGCCTGCAGTTCGAGGTAGATCTCTTTCTTTCTCTTTAACACAACAGAGTACAGTTCACTGTACATGATTTACTAACCATTGCCCAACCCCCCCATAGCGGTGTCTACATCCTTCAGAGACCAGCGCCCCTCGGTTCCGCCGCCGCCCCACGCCACAGAGGTGACGGACGAGGAACTGGTCCAGATGGCCACTGACATAGAAACAGGTAACTGGCACCAAACTGGACGTGTCACATTTGCCATCAATATATATTCTTCTGTCAGTGTGTTTGTATTAACTGTAATTGTTTCATTTACTGGTCGCTACAGCTGATGCTTGAAGGACAAAGGTAGGTTTGGCAGGTAATATAGCCATCTTCGTAGGTGGTAGTGCCATCCTCACTCATGTGGCGGTAATGTAGATTTGATTAAACGCCTTCACATGTCTACTACCCTTGGCTCTGCTGCATCTTGTAGCACTAAACCTTCTGCCCTAATCACTGGCATACTGCATGTCATCAACACTCAGACTCACTTAGTCTTGTCCCATGACTATCATTGTGCTGAATCTATTTTGTTGTGTGTGACTGTGTCTGAAGCTGACGTACAGGTCCTTCAGACTCTCCCGCTCCCGCTGGTGGTGACGCCTCCATCTCCACCTCCTCCGGCACCGTCGGAGGAGGTGGAGATGGAAGAGGAAGGAGAGGAATGTGGAGCAGCCCGCAGCTCCCACTCCTGCTTCGGCTGAGGTACAAACACACACACACACACACACACACACACACACACACACCCACCTGTACTCATGGACGCACAACTCAGTGGAGTCGACTGTCAAACTGCATGTAGCACCGACTCAGCCTCCTTACAGTGTGTTTGTTTGTTTGTGTTGTTTTTTTCCTCACAGGCCCGGTTGCCTGAGAGCTGGCGGACAGCTCTCACCGTGGAAGAGCAGGAGTGGATCAGCCGGGAGCTGTTCCAGCCAGACAGCAAGGGGAGGACTAAACTCACCACGGACCTCAAGCTGTGGTGGGATCCCCCTCAGCCCCGGCCGAGTTATACTCAGCCACCCGCCTCACCAGCTGCCTTCTTCGCATGTCGGCTGTTCCTCTGGACGCCCCTGCGTCTGTGGGGCGTCCGGCCGACATGCTGCAACAAGGCCCTCACCAAGTGTGGGCTCTACAGGACCATCCGGAGGGTCCTGGACATCGACGGCTGGTACTTGATGGCCACCGAGTACCTGGAGTGCTGTCGGTGTAAGAAGAAGGTAGCTGCCTGGTCGCAGGAGGTCGTGGGTCAGCTGGGAGAGGGGCATCGCGCCCTGTTCCCAGCGATCCTCACCTACAAGTAAGTAGCTGTCTGAACACTGTCACGCAGCGTCTCTGTGTGTGGCTCTTCTGTAACACATAATGTGCTCCTCTGTAGGCTTGCCTGCGACCGGCGGGTCATCATACAGCTGCGTGAGCGTACTCGGGGGAACAGCCCCACGCAGCTGTACAACAAACTCTGTGAGGCACACACAGAGGCCTGGATGCGGCGGTCCATACACTACCTCAGCGTCATGGAGCCCTTCGCGTCGCTAGGTGTCGTGCGCAGGTGCACCCCACCACCAAATCTGTTACTGGTGTACTGCCACGACATCCTCTCCCGCCTGGAGGACGTGAAGGCCCGGGTCACCTCCATCTTTGGAAGCATCCTGAAGATGGATTCAACCAAGAAGGTAAATGTGGTACTATAGCACAAGCTGAGTATCATGCTCTGGCTATGTGCGTGCAGCCTTACTGATGTGCGTTATTCTCTCAAACAGGTGACCCGGAAGCTCGCCGGTGCTGCCGCCCAGACCGCAGCGTGGGCAACCAACGTCGGCAACGAGCACGGACAGGTGCTTTTGTCCGTGCTCACGGACGCCGAGGGGGCCGGTCTGTTGTCCATGGCTGCGGGGTTAATGCGGCGGTACCGGGACGCTGGGGTGGAGCCGCCCTCAGCTCCTCTACGTCGACCGGGACTGTTGTTCGTCCCACGGGACATCCAAGGCACCTGAGGTGTTCAAGGAGTGGGACAAGCTGGTGGTCCGGCTCGACATCTGGCACCTGATGCGCCGCTTTGCGTCGGGTGTCACCACCGAGAGCCACCAGCTGTATAAGCCCTTCCTGCAGCAGCTGTCCTTGTGCATCTTCCTGTGGGACCCAGAGGACGCAGCCCGGTTGCTCGACGCCAAGAAGAGGATGCTTGAGGCGCAGGGGATGACCTTCTCGTCCGACGCCGGAGTGTGGAGGCACGTCAGCCGTAGGGATATGGCTATCCATTGCCGTCGCCGCACGCGTGGAGCGGCGGAGACGGAGCGGCTGATCGGTGACCTCCTGGAAACCTTCGGCGGTGCCAACGGACGGGACACCATGGGGATTCCCCTGCTGGACCAGGACCGCATCCAGGCAATCTGGACGGAGCAGCGGCGTCACCTCCAGTGCATCCAGGACCCGCCCGACGTGGAGCTGTACACCGAGACGAGCAGGCTGACCAAGGGGGGGGATCAGCCTGCCGGTGTACCGTTGTGCACGAGGCTCCACGTCCCTGGAGTCGTTCCACCTGCATCTCAACCGCTTTATCCCAGGTAAACCCACATGTTTCACTGCTATGTCAATCTTTCACTGTCGTTGACTCATTGTCATTCACATTGTGTGCACTGAATAAACTGCTAAACACATCTGTGACCCTCCTCAGGAGAAAGTGCCAATCCATGGCACTTTCAGGCATTTCTCCTGGAGGGGTTGACGCGGTGGAACGAGGACAGGGCGGCGTCCGCGGCACAGGAGGGACGTCCGCTGCTCCGCTCCTACAGTGGCCCCCTGCAGCACTCCCTTGACCAGCTCAGCCAAAGGGTGCTTGGCACGAGTGTGGTCAAGGATTACACCAAGCCCAGGGAGTACACCGGTAAGGACACTCAAGCCACCACGCTTACGCGTGTCCACACTGAGTCATATTTGTACCAGACTGAGTGACGTGATTTGTGTTGTTGTACTTCAGGGGAGCTCATCGGGATTGAGTACCTGTACTCCCAGACGGGCAGAGTGCTGCAGGACGTCAGCTTGGACCCTGACACTCCGGACGCGGGGGGACGTTTGTTAAACTGCATCTGTGTTTCTATGTACCTTGACTAACAGAGTTCTGTATTGTATTTGTATTTAAGTGGACTACGACTGCACATCCTCCTCCTCCTCCTCCTCCAGCTCCTCTCCTTGACGGCTTCAGGCAGCAGAGCCAGTGGCGGGGACCAGCAAGCCCACCCGTTGCACTGTGTACAGGCGCAAAATTAAAGCAGCAAAAGACAAAAAAGTCCTCCAAAGTACCAGGGGAAAGCCACAGCACAAACCTGGTGACCCCTGCAACATCCGTGGCCAAGCATGCACGGTGGATGGTGGCCACACTTACCTCAAGGGCCAATACTTTTGTGCTGTGGAAGAGGGCCCTGGAGGACGCACAGTGCAAGAGTAGATCAGGGAACAGCTTGGCCCTGGTGAGCTACAGAAGCTCCCCAGAACAACAGCCTGGAACCTCAAACAGAGGCATGAGAAACCAGAGAAACCAGGTGGGAAAGTGAGGAAGCCCCACAAACTGCGGATCTGCCAACTCTGTGGCCAGCCACAGCAGAAAGACTTTGGCCACAGCCAATATGGGGGAGAGCACTTCTGTGCTTTCTATGAAGGGAAGACTGTGGAGCTGTGGCTGGCTGAGAAGAGTTTAAAAAGACATTAAAAGTTTTTTTTTTTAAATATTTACTGTACTATTATCCAAGCACCTTATATGTTTCATCTGTTCACTGCACCTTATATTTTTTATTTTTAGTTTGCACTGCAATTATACTGGTTATTTATCCATTTTTTATATTGCATTCTATGTTGATTTTTTTGATATGTCTGTGTGTTGTTACTGTGTGTAATGCTGCTGCTACATTGCACTTTCCCAGCTTATCTATTATACATTTTGACCATTCCTAATAAATATTGAATTGATTAAAACCTTGTCATGTCTATTTAAATACTTTTTAACTTGACTTTTTAAACCTGGAGCCATTCAGGAGGCCAAAACGATACAAATATTAATGCACATTTAACAAAACAGGTCTCCTTGCTTTAAATGCGTGCAGGTGCCTTTAATTCGCCATATGATAAGTAACCATGTGCTCGGGATGACGTCGAACAACAGCTGAGAAAAGAAGCTTTTTCATTTAAGCTGCCATTGTCTTCCAGAAGAACCTATCTGCCAGTTTCCACCTCAGGAAGCTTCACAGCGGTGACTAGTACATTATAGAGTGGTTTGGTGTGGCTCTCCCACTTAGTTTGGCTGTAATGCACAAAACTATTAAAAGTGACTTTTTTGCGTTCCCCATGTAATTCTGGCTTTTTCCTGTTTCACATGCAATTCTGTGGGACTTTGGTGTTTTTCCACCTAAGTGTGCTGAATGAGCTTCTCAGGCTGAGAAAACAAGCTTTTTCACACAAGCTGCCATTCTCTTCTGGAAGCACCTATGTGCCAGTTTCCACCTTAGGAAGCTTCACAGCGGTGACTTGTACATTATAGAGTGGTTTTCTGTGTTCCAAATGCAGTTACGCTTTTTCGACAAAAGAGGGCACACTTGACCACAGAATAATTCATTCTGGACTTGCAAAGCTTCACAGTGGCATAATTAAAGTGATGCATAAGTGGTTTGGTGTGGCTCTCTCACTTAGTTCAGCTGTAATGGACAAAACTATTAAAAGTGACTTTTTTGCGTTTCCCATGTAATTCTTGCTTTTTCCTGTTTCACATGCAATTCTGTGGGACTTTGGTGTTTTTCCACATGAGTGTGCCAGGCTGAAAAAACAAGCTTTTTCAAACAAGCTGCCATTCTCTTCCAGAAGCACCTATCTGCCAGTTTCCACCTCAGGAAGCTTCACAGCGGTGACTTGTACATTATAGAGTGGTTTGATGTGGCTCTCTCACTTAGTTTGGCTCTAATGGACAAAACTATTAAAAGTGACTTTTTTGCGTTTCCCATGTAATTCTGTCTTTTTCCTGTTTCAAGTGCAATTCTGTGGGACTTTGGTGTTTTTCCACCTAAGTGTGCCAGGCTGAGAAACCAAGCTTTTTCACACAAGCTGCCATTCTCTTCCAGAAGCACCTATCTGCCAGTTTCCACCTCAGGAAGCTTCACAGCGGTGAATTGTACATTATAGAGTGGTTTTCTGTCTTCCAAATGCAGTTACGCTTTTTCGACAAAAGAGGGCACACTTGACCACAGAATAATTCATTCTGGACTTGCAAAGCTTCACAGTGGCATAATTAAAGTGATGCATAAGTGGTTTGGTGTGGCTCTCTCACTTAGTTTGGCTGTAATGAACAAAAATATTAAAATTGACTTTTTTGCTTTTCCCATGTAATTCTGGCTTTTTCCTTTTTCACATGCAATTCTGTGGGACTTTGGTGTTTTTCCAACTAAGTGTGCTGAATGAGCTTCTCAGGCTGAGAAAACAAGCTTTTTCACACAAGCTGCCATTCTCTTCTGGAAGCACCTATCTGCCAGTTTCGACCTCAGGAAGCTTCACAGCGGCGACTTGTACATTATAGAGTGGTTTGGTGTGGCTCTCTCACTTAGTTTGGCTGTAATGGACAAAACTATTAAAAGTGACTTTTTAGCGTTTCCCATGTAATTCTGGCTTTTTCCTGTTTCACATGCAATCGAGCCCCGGACTGATTTCGCACTCTTGCTGGGGCAGGTGTATATAGTTGTTTGCAGTGTTGTGTGTGTGTGTTTTTTTTTAAAAGACATTGACTTTCCCCTCCACAAGGACCGGGACTTTGCCGCAGTGTGGAGGCTTTCTACCAACACCGGTCCACCCACCCTGCCACAACTCTTCTACAGCACAGTGACACTCTGCTTGGAAAAAAATGTGTGTCCCATTCACACCTGTATAACACGCTGTCATGCCTCTGTGCTGTTCTGATTCTATGCACTGACAAGTCTTATAGGCCTGCTGTGTGTCTGCTGCCTGTCATATGGTTTAAGGGGGGGGGGAAATCATTGTGTGTCCCATTCACACCTGTATAACACGCTGTCATGCCTCTGTGCTGTTCTGATTCTATGCACTGACAGGTTTTTTTATTTTTTATATTTTGGACATGTGGGTATGTTCATTAATGTGATCACTGTTACATCAGTTACATCCAGTAGCTGCGACGCAAGATATCGGACTGCCATTTGTGCTGGTTCATCTGCTGTTGCCACTGGCTCTGTTGCTGCCAAAAAAATAAAAAGCCTTGTATGTACAGGTACTTCACACTGTAATGCCCCTGTGTTATGTATCCATGCATATCTGTGCTGAGCTCTTATACTATGTGTCTGCCTGCTGTGATTGCCTTGTGCCACTGCTCTGTTCTGCATCACCATTTATTATTATTATTATTATTATTATTATTATTGGATTGTAGTTTAAATAATCTATTTTGCTCTGTACTTCTGCTGTGTTTGATGTTGTTGTTGTGAAGATGCAGAACACAACAACAATATATTTAATTGATATTTATTTCACTGAAGAAAAAGGGGAAACAAATCATACACAGCATGTAACTTTAATTTATACATAAATAATTTATTTACCCTTTTTTACTGAGAATTGTATTTTATTTGTAAAGCCCTTTCCACACTGATATGCTGCACTGTCCTGTATCCTGGACATCTGACTTCATATTTCAAATAAATTGTCATCATTTTATACTGGTATCATTGTTCTCTTGTCCTATATCAAATTTAAAGCAATAAACACTGATGATACATATTCTCAATAAACACTGATGATACATATTCTCAATAAAATGAAGACACAGGAGATAAACCGTACTGTAAATGAAAAATCCATTTATTATTGCATTGCCTGGCCTTGGAAATATGCAAATTCATTATCATTTATAGACTCTATACAACGGTTCCAAGCATGTTTTAATCATTTTTTTATATTTAGAGAAGACATTTCGACGCTATGCACGCGTTTCGCAGTTTGCCTCCGTCGGGATTCGAACCGGCGAGCGGGAGTGCCGTTCCGCACGTCGACCGCGCGTCTTTTGCGCTCTAGTGCGCATGCGCGGGTGCCGACCAAAACAGAGAAGAACGCTGGGGAGCGCCTCTGGGACAGCCTTCGTCTCTGTACCTGTGTTCCACATAAATGTCCCCACCTACCGATTTCAGAGGCTATCATTGGCTCATGCTCAAATGGAACAGGCCAATGGGTGAAGGCCAGGTCAACCCCATTGGTCTGTTCCATTTGGGTGCTGTGCTGTGATTCGACAGCTCGCCGCATGTCCCGCCCACCCCCCAAAGCCACAGCCACGGTCAGTGTCATTCATTCATTCGGACTGAGCGGCGTTTGAGTGAGCGGACGGACGGACATTCACACAATATTATAAGGTTAGACAAACTTTATTGTTTGTAAAATTATGTGCTACATTGAAAAGGCAGCTTATATATTATACAGTAATCAGTTAGCAGTGAAACAGCGAGCCAATGTAACGTTAGCGTAAGTTAGGACTGCCGCCGATGTCATTACCGATCGGTGAAATGTGTTTAAAATAATATTCCCATACTGGGTTTACTTGTTGAGACCTAGGATATTGTACTGCTATTGTGTGGAGTTGATATTTAAAGTTTAACTGTGCTTTAGATGCGTTAGCATATAAATCGCTATTAGCATGCTAAGCGTTGGGAATGAATGAGCATTTAGCCACTGCTGTGATGAGCTGACGATCTCTGGAAACGCTTTAAAAACGTGATGAGACAACTTGGCTCACTTCTTAAGACCCTTGGTATGCTGGTACAACGAGGTGGAGTCAAAATTTGAAGTGTAAATATGGTTTAAATGTGTAAACAGACCAGCCGTGATTTTGCTAGCTAAAAACAAGGAGGTGAATGAGGTCATTTTAGTTACTACTTTTCTGAGGGCTGGCGATCTCTCACAATGTATTTAATCTTTAAACAGACTACCTGATTATCTTCCTTAGACCCTGTAGATGTAGTTACTACAGTTTGAAGTCAAAATTCAAAGTGTAAATATGGTTTAAATGTGTAAACAGGACGCCTGATGTTG